CCACACAAATTCATAAGTTTCGAGCTAATAGAATTAAACACAAAAAAAATACTTATTTACTAAAGTTGTATGATAATAGTATTCATATTTTATTGGAAGAGATAAGACAAAAGTGCTAACTTGAATTCAAACCCAAGTGGCATGTTTTGTTATTTTCTATTATTTTAGGGTTTTAAAGATTTTACTAAAAATTAACAAAATACGATAAACTAAGTTTTGTTTTTGTCACTGAGATTTTTCTAAACGTTTACATACAGTATTAATTTTTTTTCCATTTAACAATAGTTTAAAATAAAAACATTAATCGTTAGAAAGCTGTTATTTTTTTAAAACATAGTATTTAGTTAACAAATTTTACTAATTATAAAAAACATACATTATTTGATTGGTCACATTATATACAGTAAATGTATCAGTTACATAGATGTAAGAAAATTATCTATATTTTGAAACAAAAAATTTCCTAATACTATTTACAATAAAAAACGGAAAAAGTAGTATACAGTGTTAATGAAAATACATTATTTAATTTTGTTTGTTAATAAATACATAATTTAAGAAGAAACTATAGTTTGCAAAAAAATAAATTTAAAGTATTAAAAAGGGAGTACAAATAGGAAATATCCCTTAATTTTCTTCAAAAATTACAATTATATAGAATTAAAACACTGTTGTTTTGTTTTGTTTTGTTTTTAAACAAAACCTACATTTAATATTTTATGGGCTTGGTCCATTAAATATAATTAAAACATGATTCATATATATTTTGATGAAAACAAAGTTTGGACATAGTAGTTAAGTTTTGGTTCATTTTAATTATAAGTTCATAACCAAATAATCTAAACTAATAAATTCAACTAAATATCTTCTCATTTTTAGTGTTGTTTTAAACTTGGTTTCATATTATTATTTTTTGTTTAAATAATATATTTTTATTTAAAAATCTCAATAACAATTTTAAAGCTCTAACATTTTACCGTTTATTTTACCAGATAAACTAAATAAAAACACAATTTCATAATTTATAAGTCAACACTAATCACATTAAACAAGACACACCAATGTCAATCAAGCATAATATATGAATCTATAACATAAAAGGCATAAACAATTGAATTCATAGCATTTTCAAAAGTTGAAAATATATGATTACGTAAAACAAATACCCGCGCGGGCGCGCGGGTCAAAAACTAGTAAAGTTATTATTGGCAAAACAAATCTCCGCTTTTGGATATTCCTAATTGCGAGATATTCCAGACAATATCGTTTCAAACAAATCTCCGCGTTTGGATTACTGGTTCTCGAATAAAGAATCTCTATAATAATATTTGGGAAGTCACTTTCTTAGGTGTCGCGCTCACGTTAACTCTACGCTGGTTGATTACTATGATACCCCTAATGAATTAAAAATATATTTAAATATTATTATTTCCTTTTCAAAATCTTCCAAATAACAATATAAAACAAAAAGGAAATATTTATAAAATTTGAAAAACTATTTAAAAACGAAAAAAGTAAGTATATATATAATATGGTTTCATAAAAAAGAAAGTTTACAAAATAGTAATATTTAACTTAAATATATTTTAAAATAACATAAATTATACGTTTTAAGTAATTATACTTTATATCTATATTTTTTTAGATGAAAAAAAAATATTTGTATATAATGTGTTTTCATAAAAAAAAATTTATACAAATAATCTTGATATTAGAAAAAGAAATATTTTTTTCTTTAAAAAATAATTTAAAGAATAAAATATATATTTTCAAAGTAATTAGTTTTTGTATATATCTATTTAATTTATTAGATGATTGCATAAAATAATTAAGTAAAATAAACTGATATATGTTTAATTGATAAAAAAATTATATAATTAGTATATTTATTTGATTATAATATCTTACTGTTACAGAAAAAAAATTATATTTTACTATATAATATAATTTCTCAAAAACAATCACATTTTTACTGCATATTTTAAGAGATATTAAAAACAAAATTAAAAATAAATTTAATAATAAAAATCTTTTGAACAAATAACTACTATTCTTTTAAAATATCATAACACTATATAATTTAACGAGATAGATATATTATATTTTAATAGTTGAAATTATCTGTTTTCTTAATAACTCTTTTGATGTTTAATTTTCTGTTTTTTATGTTTGTAGAATTTAATATAACCATAATCAAAATACTTAAGCAAATCAGAATTTCTTATTTTTAAAATTATCTCTATAATATAATTTGAGAAATCACTTTCTTAGGTGTCGCGCTCACGTTAACGTTCACGCTGATTAATTATTATGATACCCCTTATGAATTAAAAATATATTTAAATATTATTATTTCCTTTTTAAAATCTTCCAAATAACAATATAAAACACAAAGGAAACATTTATAAAATTTACAAAATAATTAAGTAACATAAACTGATATATGTTTAATGGGGTTTTTGCAAAACCAACCTAAAATTTCAAGTCAAACACAAAACCAACCTCTTTTTTTTTGTCCATTACTATTCACTCTTAAAAAACCTAAACTCTCCTTATGTTTCCACTTATTTACCAAATTGCCATTATTTTTAAATCTGATTTTATTTTCGAAAATTATTAAAAACCTATTACACCCTAAACATTTCTCCTTATTTACCATAATGCCATTGTCATCAATATTTGCAACCACCCAAAACCACCATTGATGAGCTCTTTAAGCTTGTGTTTATGAAATTTCAACCACTTATTTCACT